TGAATGCTAAGCGACATGATCTACCATCGCCAAGGATGATTCGCATGACCTGATGGGCTTGTACTAGGACAGGGGTGCTGGAAAACTTGTTAAGTTGTACGAGCAAAAAAGAAGGAGATGTTGGGAAGACGAGATGCGTGCGTCACTTATTCGTCTCCGCCTAGAGCTGCTACTGGTCGCATTTGGGATATACACGATTGGCGCTATGCTGCTCTATTTTAAGGGGCATCGACTTTTTGGGAAGATTTTACGCTTCTTTTTCAGGAAGAGATGGGGCTGGGTCGATTTCAGGTGAAATGGGTCGGGTCGGGTCAAAAATTATAAAAGGCTGGGTACATTTGGAGATTGGGCCTGTGATTTCTTTGAAAACTGGGTATAAAATGGGCTGTTGTATTGATGGACTGATTTTGGGTTGGGAATTTGCCAGTACATGGCCCAACTTGGGTCATAACAAAATAATACTCATTGCCAATAAAGATTAATAACTAAATTAGTAAGCTTTCTTAATTTTAATGAGGTAAAATAATTAACTGAATTACAAACAAAACAAATTAAAGTATATACTATTATATAACCAAACTAATTCGTATGATATTTAAGTAGATCTTTTTGAGGCGATTTTTAAATAAACATAAAATATATACTAATCGTATATGCAATTACGTGAATCACATGTATTATCTAAAAATCATGAAAAAATGATATGATTAATTTAGAATATCTTGAAAAATCATTTAAACTTAATAAAATTAATTGTTTCAAATCGTTTAAATTAAGAAGCTCGTTATTTAATTCTTATTGGGGGGGGGGGTCAAAGTTGGATGTCAACAACTGTCCCTCATTTTATTTGGATTGATACAAGAAATTTGAGGAAAATAAAATTGACCAAGCCAATTTTGAATGACCACATATTCATCTTTAAGACAGGGGGTTTGGTAAAGATCTTTAAAAATTATGGCCAAACCTCGAAAAAAGATTTCCTACTTTTTCTCTGGTATATGAGAATTCAGGATATTTGTAGTTCGATACGCTTTATTTGACACACAAATTTTGAAAGAATTCACATGTCATCTCGATACTGGATTATGAAGTGATCGGGATGCTCGAGAACAAGATTTCAAGAGCGAACGTCGGAATACAACCAAGTTTTCAACATTGAGCTCTCCTACATATCCTTCAACATAAGGAATCGGGCTTCTTGTAGTTTTACTCGATTGGTTAAAAAGGAAATCCATTATATTAGATAATATTTTGTTCGGGACAAGTGACAAATTAATTCGAGTATGAAAAGGAGGCTTGTAACCTCTTAGCCATGAATGTGGTGCACTTCACACCCATAACCAAGAATTTACACGGCATAATTTCCAGAGCTCTTGGTGCATTGTCACTCATATTGGAAACTTGCTTCCAGCGACAAACAAAAGTTCCGGATGCGAGACTAAAACCAAGAAACCTAAAAAAAGACCCACATGCCTTCTGATAGGGGTGTGGTTTGATTTTGATGGAAGTCGTTCCTCTGCTCGCTACCTAAGAGTTTGACACTCCTCTTTGGACTATGTCCTAATTCACTGCTAAGAAAAAGTTTCACGTTGTGCTGCATCCTTTTTGATATTGTCTGCACCTGTAGTTTTCTTAAGATTTCATCCTTTAGGATGTTCTCGACAAATATTGAGATAAAACTTGTCAGCATTAAAATTGCAATTTAAATGGGAGATAGTGTCTTTTACCGTGTTAACACTTAATTGCTCTCCTTAAGAATTTGACGTCAACTCGATCAATTTGAAGTAAAGAAAATAAAGATTATGTCCTATGTTTGCTATATAATCTTCAATGTACTCTTCATTTGACGTGAAAAATAAATAAAAACTGATGTAGTGTTGATATTCCTCTTGATGTCATCTTTGAAAATTCTCTTGGTGTTTGCTCTTTATCAAAATAAAGGAAATGCCATTGATGTTGATGGATAACCATTTTTCTTGAGACACACGATTTCTTGCTCTCGTTGTGCATAATTTCTCTTCTGTAATGCATGACTTTCTCTTGCGATGTGTGAATTCTTCTGCGAGACATGAATATCCTCTTGCGATGCATGATATTTTCCGTGAGGTATGAATATATTCCTGCAATGCACGATTTTCCGCGATGCAGGGGTATCAACTCGCGATGCATTTTTCTGCGATGCATCAATATTAACTCGCGATGCATGATTTTTGTGATGCATGAATATCTTCTTGTGGTGCATAATATTTTCCGCGAGGCATGAATATCTTGCTGTGAGGAACGATTTTCCGCGAGGCATGAATATTTTCCCGTGATGCATGCACATTTACTCGCTATGCCTTAATATCTTCTCGATGCATGAAATCCCGCGATGCACGATTCTCCACAATGCATGGATATCAACTGGCGATGTATGAATCTCCGCGATGCATGAATATTAACTCGATGCGTAAATGTCAACTCGCGATACATGATTTTCTGTGAGGCATAAATAACTTCTCGCGATGTGTGATTTCTTGTAGGGAATGAATATATTCCCGAGATGCGTGGTTTCTTGCTGGGCATGAATATCTTCCCGTGATACGTGGTTTCTTGCGGGGCATGAATATCTTCCCGCGATGGGTGGTTTCTTGCAGGGCATGAATATCTTCCTGTGATACGTGGTTTCTTGCAGTACATGGATATCTTCCCGTGATGCATGAATATTAACTCGTGATGTATGAATATTTTCTCTTGATGCCACCCTTCGTACCAAATGAAGATAGTGCTTCAATCGAGCAACATAGTCATCTTCCCGAGTGCCTTCTGGATAATCATATCGTCTTTATTGACAATAACGGTAAAATAACCCTTCAGGTCGTGTTTCGTCTCAATTGACAATAGAAATTAAATGAACCCTCCAGGTGGTAGTAATGTCATGTCTGATAATATGATGCAGATGACGAACTTGACGGAAACCGTAGACGCTCTTTCTTGAGGTTTTCACTTGATTCTTCTCTGAACATAATTGTAACTTTGCTGTAGACTTCTTGCTGTTTGGGATTTGGTGAACAATGTTGTTCATGTTACCGAGTCTGTGATATAATCAATATAAAATAATTCCTGCATCCAAAGAAAAACTATTAATTTTGGGGAGCTCTTCTTCCCCTTGACTTCTCCATATTGATTTGGAGGAATTTGATTACTTCATAGTAGACTTTATAAAACTGCATTCACAGAAAAATTATTAGTTTTAAAACAAACTGATATGTGTCAACTTTTTTAATTGTCTGTTCCGTGTCCTGCTATCTCCGGTTGACTTTATGATCTCCCGACTCTTGATAGATGAAATAAAATATTTTATGTCAAAACAAATGAAACATAAGAGAAAATTTAAAGGAAAATTAATTTTCGAAAAGTAGTATTTTGAAAAAGTTTACTACCAAGTGTCATGTCACGTAAAGCTTAGAAACTTCTTTGGATCTGATGCTTTGTGGGCTATCTGATCATTCGCTGGAGGTATTCAAAGTCACCTTAGACTGTCAATAAATCCATGTTGAAATTTTGAGTCCATCCTCAAAATTTCTGTCCTAGTTAACTGTCTTGACTTATCTTTAACTGTAGGTGGGCAAATCACAAAATTTTTGAGATCCTCTCAAAAAAAATTTCCCAGTTTCAAATTCTCAAAATAACTTCAGTCTTGACTTGTTGAGGAAAAATATTTTCTCGAGAATTTTTGAGTCCCTCTTAAAAATTCTATCCTAGTTTCTATTGTAAAGAGGAATAGAAATCTAATGCGGAATATGACCGAACCCTTGTGGCGCTTACCTATCTCGTCGAGACAAGAATCAGGTCAAACGTAGTTCCCCTCAAGGATAACAATAATAAGAAATTTACAAATAAATTGATCGAGGCCGACATCGACCGCCTATGTATCTAATTCTTGAGAATTTAGGTCAGAAGTAGTTCATTACAAGAGGAATAAAAATTTAAACAAAGAAATTACAAGCAATAAAAAAATGCATACAAGGAAACGACCGAATAACAAACTAAGCTTCACACTTAGTATCTTTTGACAGCATTTGAGTGGATCGGTTTCGGCCATGCAGTGTCATCTATCTCCGAAAGGACCAAAGCACCTCTAGATAATACTTTACGAACTATGTAAGGCCCTTGCAAATTCGGTGCAAATTATTCTTTATAATCATCCTAATGAGGAAAAATGTGTTTAAGGACCAATTGACCAATTTCAAAAAATTCTGGCTCTTACTCTTTTGTGGAAAGCTCGAATCATTCTCTATCGATATAGTTGGCCATGAAAAACGGCAACCCTTCTCTTCTCGTCAATCAGTGTCAATTTGTCAGTCTACTTGCTGACCCATTCATAATTACTCAATTCAGCTTCTTGTATGCTTCTCAAAAACGGTATCTTAACTTCAGCAAGTATGACTGCTTCTGTTCTATATACTAAGAAATATGGAGTAGCTCTAATCGATGTTCTGATAGTCGTTCGATAACCCAACAAGTCATATGGTAACATCTCATGCCAACCTCGGTGATTGTCAATCCTTTTCCTTAAAATCTTCTTGATGTTCTTATTGGCGTCCTCTACAACTCCATTCATTTAAGGACGATACGCGGTTGAGTTTCGATGAGTAATCTCAAACTGCTCACATATATCTCTCATCAAGTGACTGTTGAGATTTGCACCATTATACGTAATGATGGATTCTGGTACTCCGAACCTGCATATCAGATTGTTGCGAACAAAATCAACTAAAAAAACTTTTTTGGTCACTAACTTGTACGAAGCTGCTTCCACCCACTTGGTGAAATAATCAATAGAAACCAAAATAAATCTGTGTCCATTAGAGGTGGATGGATCTATTGGACCAATGACATTTATGCCCCAAGCTACAAAGGGCCAAGGCAAACTCATAGCATTGAGTTCGTGAGGCGGCACTCGGATCAAATCACCGTGAACTTGACATTTATGACATTTCTGCACAAACTTGTAACAATCATGCTCCATGGTCATCCAAAAATAACCGGCTAGCATGTATTTGTTCAATAAGCTTTGCATCTTCAACAACATCGATACATCTGAGAAGACCTAAATCTGGAGTCCTCATGTAAAGGATTTGTCCGATTAGAAAGAAGTTGAGGGCTATACGGCGTATCGACTTCTTCTGGATGGATGTGACATCTTCAGGATAAATCCCAGACTCCAAATACTTCTTCACATCAAAATACCATGGCAAACCGTCTAGTTCTGCTTCAACATGTGAACAATGGATCAGATGTTCTTTCAGCTCTATATCCAAAGGATCAATATAATAAGTTTCTGGATGTTTAATCATTGGGGAGATCATGTCAAGAGCATCAACCAACTCATTCTTCATTCTGGGAGTACTCAATCTTACAGAATCTTTTGCACAACTTTTGTATGTACTGAACGTATAGCGTAATCTTTGGGTTCTTCACGGTCCATTCTTTTTTAACCTAATGAATTAATAAGTCTTAGTCTCTAATAACCAACAACTCATGGACATTCATGTCAATGGCCATTTTCAGATCGAGGATACAAGTTTCATATTCAGCCATGTTGTTCGTGCAATTAAACTGGAGTTTAGCTGCCATGGGATAGTGCTGACCGGACTCTGACACTAAGACCGGTCCAATACCTTTTCCTTGGTGATTTGCCGCTTCATCAATGAATAATCTCCATCCAGGATATATTTTAGAAATATCTTCACCCACAAACTATACTTCTTCATCGTGAAAGTAAGTCTTGAGCGTTTCATACTCTTCATCAACAGGATTTTTTGCAAGATGATCAGCTAAGGCATGCGCTTTTATCACCTTTTGGGTCACATACAAAATATAAAATACACTCAAAATCATTTTCCACTTAGCTAACTTTCAGGTCAGCATCACTTTCTGGAAAATGTACTTCAATGGGTCCATCTGGGAAATAAGGTATGTTGTATAAGAAGACAAATAATGTTTCAATTTATGGGCTATCCACGTCAAAACACAAGACGGTCTTTCCAAAAGAGTATAACAAGACTCGTATGGAGTGAACTTCTTACTTATGTAATAAATTGCTCGCTCCTTTTTCCCTGTCTCGTCATATTGCCCAACCACTCACCCAAATGCATTATCCGAGATGGAAAAATACAGCAACAATGGACTCCCTTCTCGCGGAGGAACCAATATCTGTGGATTGGAGAAATAGTTCTTGATAGCATTAAAAGCAATTTGACACTCTTTAGTTCACTTTGTCAGAGCGTCTTTTTTCAATAGCTTGAAGATGGGTTCACACACCACAATTGATTGACCTATGAATCGACTGATGTAGTTCAACCGTCCTAAGAAACTCATCACCTTCTTCTAAGTCTTCAGAGGAGGTAGCTCTTGAATTGCCTTAATCTTGGAAGGGTCGAGCTCAATACCTCTTCTGCTAACTATATATCCCAACAACTTGCCGGATGACACCCCAAAATCACATTGAGTGGGATTTAACTTCATGTTTTATCGATGTAGACGCTCAAAGAATTTCTTTAAATGCGTTTAGTGGTCCAAACTCTCACAAGACTTGATTATGACATTATCTACATACACCTCAATCTCCTTATGAATAATGTCATGAAACATGGTCATCATAGCCCTCATATAAGTAGCGCCAACATTTTTGAGACCAAATGACATCACCCTGTAATGATATACGCCCCAAGGCATAATAAAAACTTTCTTTTCTGAATCTTTCTCATCCATCATAATCTGGTGATAACCTGGGTAAGAATCCACAAATGACTACATTTCGTGTTTATCATAGTTATCAATCAGAATGTCAATGTTTGGCAACAAAAAATTATCCTTTTGATTGGCTTTGTTGAGATCTCTATAATCGACACAAATTCTGATCTTCCCATCCTTTCTGGCAACCGAAACAACATTTGCCAACCAAGTAGGATATTGCATCACTTCCACTAATTGAGACTCAATCTGTTTGGTCATATCTTCTTTAATCTTTAAACTTAACTCAAGCTTGAATTTCTGAGCCTTCTGCTTAACTGGACTGAACCCCGGATTGATCGGCAACTTGTGAGACATCACATTGGTATTCAGCCCTAGTATATCGCTGACCTCCCAGATGAACACATCAACGTATTCAGTTAGCAAATGAATTAGATCCTTTCTTTGAGCTTCATTCAAATGAACACTGATTTTGACTTCTGGAACACACTTTTGGTCTCGTAGTTTCAGTTTTTTCCAAATTCGGCTTATGCTAATTTTCAAACTGTTGAAATTCCTCAGCAACATATTCCACCTCAGCAACATATTCCGGCACCTTATTTTCCTATTCGTATTCTTCAGCCTCGTCATCACCTGCCTCATTTTGTTCATTTAGCTCGTGACATGACAATGACATTGACAGGTTTAAAATTAATATTACTGAAACCATAAATAGACAAAGTTAGGAAAGTAATATATAGCAGATAAGTAAATAAAAAAGTTTTTAATAAAAGAGGCTTTCATTCAAATTGGAAAAACAATGCAAACTTTGGCCATGACAAAGGGCCATGTTTCCTTTTTAAACATCACAGGGAATTTTAAAATTCAAGCGATTAAAAAAAATGCAAAATGGTGGGTCTCAGGCCTCTTCCGGACCGCCACCAATTTTCAAAATATGCATAAACAATGTCCTTCTACCAAGATGATTGGGGAATCAAGATTAGCGTGGAATTCCAATTCTGCAGCTGTTCTCCAGGTTGAGCATCCCAGATGCCAGCTAGCTCGACCTCTTCTTATATGAAAGCATCGATCTCTTAAAAAAGATCACAGATTCCTTCCCCTAGGCCATCATGATCGGCGCACTCCCGGACTTGAAATGATTGATACAGATTTGAGATCATCTTAACCAATACTTGATCACTGATATTCTTCATCTTCCTCTCATCATCCGTGTGGATGTACCCAAACCATATCTCGCTCCTTTTACGGGGACTAGAATAGGCTCAATAATTTCTTGGGGATTCCTTCCAAATCCGAAACTTGGTTCGAACCCATTCTATAGCATCACCATGGCGATCATCTTGTACCCGATAGGCATACGAGGTCGTGGGGCCGAATCCTCAAAAGTGGCATCTACCAGCTCCACCATGTATAAATCGGTACCTCACAAAACTTCATCAATAATGGTGTATGCGTGCCGGAGTGAATTCCTTCGCTGTGAATAACCAGCTCTGGAAGGCACAAATCTAGCCATGTGGATGAAAGGCCTTTTAAAAAGAAGATTATAGCTGGTGTCAATGTCCAAGACCTGAAACAACGCACTGAACTCTGTTGGACCCATTTGGATGACTAGATTCACCGCTCCTAACGTGTCTTTTTGTACTCCGTCAAAGGCTCTTACATTGTCTTGGTTTTGTTCCAGCTTTCCCAAGTCAAACCTTAACTGCCTTAGAGTCGACAGTGGGTAAATGTCGAGACCGGACCCATCATCCACCTGGACACGTTTTATGACTCTTTCACTATATATGACAGTGACAGGCAATGCCTTATTGTGCGACCTTCCTTTAAAGGGCAACTTTTCATCACAAAAGCTAACCCAATGTCCTCGGATAACTTGGTTGATCATAGCTGCCGCATGATCGCTGCTTGTGCCCATGGGCACATACGTATCATCAATATACTTCCTCGAGTCCTGTCTATAAAATTGGGATCTCATCAATAGGGCCCATACAGGAATCTGGGCTGGGGTTTTCTTTAGATGTTTAACGATCGAATAATCCTTTGATGGCATCTTTCTCTAGAATTCCTCCGCTTCGCCCTCACTTATCGACCTTTTCGCTTGATCCTTCTTATGTCCTCCAAAAGTCAACTCTTTAGGAGTATAAAACCTCCCATATCGGGTTATACCCTGAGAGACAGTGATTTCAATCACAACTTTGGCCTATCAGGAGCTTCGAATGACACCAAAGCAACACCCATTACGGGTTTCAGGATCACAAACTCCTTTTTTCTCTTTAACGCTCAGCGAGGCCATAACCCTTTCTAACTCATCTTAAGAAATCACAGTTATCACTTTTGTCACGCACTAGTCATCATTCGTCTCTATCATATTGATGCCTCCATGATTTGACAAAGGATTGGTGTTGACATTGGGTGCGACTGTTTGAAGAGAAACCACTTCTTGGTCTATTAGATCTTGAATCTTCTGTTTGAGGTTGATGTAGTCCTCAGTATCGTGCCCAACGCTGTTGGAGTGATATACACACCTTTGATTGAATTTGTAGAATTTGGAACTAGTATCCACTGGCTTGGGCTCCACCAGGTGAATATATCCAGCCACAGTCAGTCTCTCGTACAACTTTGTTCGGCTTTCAGCAAGCACGGTAAAGTTTCTGGGGGTTTCTTCTCGAATTTTGGTCGAGGGAGGTCATTGCTACCTTGTTGGGGAGGATACATTTGTTGATAATTTTGGGTATTTGGATGGGTAGATTGGCTTCTTGGATATGGATTTGTTTGGTAATTTGGTGATTGAGCTTGGTAATTTTTGGGGGCATTTTGGTATACAAGATCTTGGACTTGATATACTGGTGGGGGTGCTCTGTAGTTTGACTGCACATTGATGTAAAGAAACATCATTTTGGTAAATAGGGGATGGAATTTGGTAAAGTGGAGAAGAATCTTTGTAAACGGGAGATCAATTTTTGTAATTTGGAGGGGGGCTTTGGGTATGTGGAGGTAGTATTGTGGTAGACAGGAGGAGGAGTTTTTGGATAACTAGCTTGCGCGTAGCAAGCATGGTAAGAATTCTCAAAATGTCGAGGGCGACCTTGGTAGGATGATGATCTTCTAGTATTCTTCCTCCCCTCGTAAGAGACCGTAGAAATGTCTTCTCTTTTCTTCTGGGTTTTCAACCCATCTTTGATAGTCTCACAAACCTTAAATATTTCAGCAAATTTTGCTCCAACGAGCAATATTATTCTGTCGTAGTATTCGGGGTCTTGAACCCGTACAAATACTTCAACTACGTCTTTCTCGGACATAGGAGGCCTTACTCTAGCCGCTTCTTTTCTCTACCTGTATGAAAACTCTTTGTAGCTTTCAATGGACTTTTACTTCATCTTTTCTAGGGATTAGCGATGGAAACAATTTCCACATTATAAGAAAATAGATCGATAAACTCCTTGGCCAGAGAATTCCAACTGGGCCATCGTCTGGTTTCATGGGAAGTGAACCATTCGAGAGTCTGCCCATATAGAATTTGGCTAAAGAGTCACATCAGCAAAGCTTCATATCTACCAACCCCGACAAGCTGGTCGTAGTAGGCTCTCAGATAGGTCATAGGATTCCTTACTCCCTTGGAAATATCAAATTTTAGAATCTTGAA